TCTAGAGGGCTAAAAAAATGAGGTAAAAATAATAAAAAAATTTATTTTTTAAATTATTTTAATCTAAAAACACTTTATAAACACTTCTATAACATCCAGAAACCATTTCATTAACTCCAAACATCTTAAAAATAGCCTAAAACACATAATCAAAATATGTTAGTTTTGACTTTGTTCATGCAATGTTAAAACTTCAAACAACCACTCTAAAAACCTCTCTTATCTTATGAATTCATGGACATTAAAAAACCTCAATTTGATGGTTAAAAATGAAATGAATAATGAATTTTTTTTATTATCAGAATTCAACAACCATTCTCTTCTTAATCAAAATAACACTAAATTATCAAAATTATTTTAAAAAAAATTAAAAGAACTTAAATTATATGAATTGCGGAAATTTTAAAAGATTAAGGACCTGGGTGTATTTTCTATATAATCTCTAAGTACATCAATCATGTTTGTTCTCTATTTTTATTATTTTTGACTTTTTTAAAATTTTACTATTCATTAATAAATTAGAAATAATTAACCTTCAACTATGAGCACATTGTATAAAATAAAACTTTACAGTTCAAAATAAATTATTAGAAAAAAAAATAATAACTCCACAGTGATGTGTGTGAGCGACGAAGATCCATTTCATTCTTTATGTTTAATTTTTTTTTTTTGTTTATTTCACGTAAAGATATATAAAACTCCATTTCTCTGCATGCATCTATATAAATATATATACATGGTGAGGTTAGAACTCATTGTGTATTTTTTTTTATGATTTAATTTATTTTTTAAAATATTTTTTATTTTTTAATATCAAATGGACACTTTTTAAACATTTTTTCACCAGGCTTGAAGTATTGGTTTTTAAAAAATATACAAATTAAAAAAAAATGATTTGATAGTGTATGAGAGTGCAGGAGCTTCTCCTTTTGAGCACGCTTCAAAAATAAATTTTACTTAAAAAAATATTAAATTAATACTTTTTAGTGCTTTTTAATAATTTTGTTAAAGTAATATATTTTTAGATAAAAAATACTTTTTAAAAACTCTTAGATTTTATGTTTTTACATTCAAAAATCATTTTTAAATTATTTTTTTATAACTTGGGATTGTTTTAATATAGTAATATAAAAAAATAATTTTTTTAAAAAAAAAAACATTATCTTAACATATTTATAAATTAAAAAAACATAATTCCATTCCAAACTGTAAGAAGATGCACGGTGAAGTGGTTGCGTGAATGGTGAGATGCATGAAAGGTGGGATAAAGAGAGATGAGATTAGTAGGGAAATGACCCGGGTCATAATGTCTCTCCCGACACCTCTCACGTGTCTGTCACGCTTGGCCACAAGTCCTGTCTATCTTGTCCTTGACTGGCTCCATCCAATCCTTAAATTGTTGGGCACTGACGACTGGCATTCCGCCACTTGCATTTAATTTGCATTTTGGAGCCCCCCCAACACCTCTTTCGTTTTTTGCACGCATACACCCAATTCTACTCTTGCTTTCCGCCGTTTATTTTTTAGGGTTGGTTTGTTTTTATATTTTAAATATATTTTTAAATAATTTTAATATTCTTATATAAAAAATAATTTAAAAAAATTTAAGAAAAAACATAATCATATTATCAAACAAGTTTTTAGTGGAGTCTTTTCATGCACAACAAATTCTAAAATAACTTCTCAAAAAAACAAGAATCCCATATAAATAATTAGATTTTTTAATTATCATCGAGAAAATTACAGTATTACGATTCAAATAATATATCATTATTGAAAACACAAAACATCAGTGAGAATCTCCAAGATAAAATATTGTGCAAAATAGAAGACGTGTGTGTGTGTGTGTGTGTGTTGCGTTAAATTGTAACTTGAGTCCAAGGCATTTCAGTAGAAAGTGTGGTCAACGCTCGTGAAAATGCTCCGTGTAGTCATGATTACACAGACATTTCATTCAAAATTTGCACATGTGATCATGACTAAAAACACTAGAATATTTACCTACTTGTTGAATAAAATAAATGGGTGGTTTTTCAGTACCTGCCCTTTTCTTCCATGGTCTATGATATGATGGATAATATGATCATCTTATAGCTAGCTTGGAGTCCATGAATAAATAAATAAAATTCGTGGATGGGGACTGTAAGTGATGGTGAGATCTTATTTTATAATTGGATATTTTATAATTTTAATTTGAAAACTTGACACGTGTTAAAAAATTATTAGAAAAACAATAAAGTTTGAATACAATTATCGTCGTTGAAAATAATGGTCGAACACAATTCTAATGAAACATCATTAATATTAAATACAACTATCGTTGTTGAAAATAATGGTCGAACACAATCCTAATTCAATACCATTATTATTTGAATACAACTATTATTGTTGAAAATAATGGTCGAACAAAATCCTAATTGAACTTTGTTATTATTTAAAATAATTATTGTTTTAGAAATTCAATCTTTTCAAATCTAATAAACATATAAAAAATTAACTGAACTTTTATAAACAATCAATGACCAAGAAAGAACGAGTCATCATGTATATGCTAGAGCTTTATTTTTAATATATTTAATATTTTAAAAAAATTAATGAGATAATTTTAATCACATCTTAAAAAATTATTAAGCATAGTTTTAATATGCTAGTGATTTTATCTAGGGTTAATTTAGAGTTAATTGTAATTTTTTTTGTGTTTTTTTAAGGTGTTAGAATCGGTTCGTTTGCACTTTTTTAACGATACAAAGTATGTTGAAAACTGGGCCTTAATGTGTTCATGATGGTCTATTTCTTTTTTTTTTCTTTTTCCATTCTCTCTTGTACTGCATTACCTTATCTTTTCTTTTCTTTTTATTGGTCAATGGATCTTAAATTTTATTTTTTGTTCATTGAATATTCATAAAATTTTTAAATTTACTTTTGTTTAGGTTAATTAATTTGTAAATGGAAGATGTTTTGAAAGATGGCTAAACAATTGTTATTTGAAAAACATATTCTGAAATACCATCCCTATTCCAAATAGTGATTATGTATAAAAACAATATTTCAAAATATAGTTGTATTCAAAATATGCTATTTTTCAAATATAATTTCAACCTATTTTATTATCCCAAAGCTTTTGGCAAAATACTAGATTATTGACCCGTGTTATGCCGGTGTCGAGTCAAATTTTTCTTGAACATAAAAACATATATAGATGGTGCTAACTTTTTTTTTAGTAGGAAAAAATCAAATTGTGTGGTGTTGACTCGATATAATTAGTCAATTGAAAAAAATTAAAAGATAATTTTTTTTTAATATTAAGATAACAACATGGTGGATTAATTTGGTCAAACTCGTGTCAACATGTCAAATTCATGACTTAGGTTATGAGACTATAATAACCCCCGTTGAAACAAATCAGAATAAATTATGAAGTTTAATTCTCAATCAACTTAGTATCAAATGATAAAATTTAAAAAAATCAATTAAAAAAAGAACATAAAAAACAATTCAAGTTAACTCGTTAAATCTATTACCTGAATCACAGTACTGGGAAAAATCTATAAAAAAACAAATTATATTGTTCAATTCTCAATTAGAGCAATATTAAAGGATGAGATTAAAATAAATTGATTAAAAAAATATAAAAAATAACTCAAGTCAATATGTTAAACCTATGATATGAATTATAAAATCGAGATAACTTAATAGAAAAAAATAAAAAATAACCTGATTTAACTTTGGTTAACCTATCAAATTCATGATTCTGTTTACAAGACTTAAATATCCCTATAGAAAACAAATCAAAACAATTTACGAAACTTAATTTTTAATTCACATTGTTGGATCCAATTATGAATGATGAAATTTTAAAATTATAATCATTATAGAATAAATCATGAAATCTAATTATCAACCAAACACGATATTAAATGATAGAATTAGTGGGAAAAAGTCAATTAAAAAAAACTAAGTCAACTGAGTTAACTCGTCAAACCTGCTACTCGAATCATGAAAAGTGAATAACCTAATAAAAATCAAATATAATATTAAAGGACTTGTGATTTAAGTTATGAGATCGATATAATTTTTTTTTATAAAAACGTATGATTTAGTCAAGGTTAAAATGCTGAACTCTATGAACTTGATGATGAGATTAAGATATTCCAATATAAAGCATATCTAAATATATTTGAAACTTAATTTTCAACTAATTTAATATTAAATTAAAAAAATAAAAAAATACATAAAAAATAACTCGAGTCAATTTGGGTTAAACTATTAAGCATTATTCCTAGGTCATAAGGCCATAATAACCTAATTCAAATAAAATAAAATAAATCATGAATTTTAATTTTTTATCAACTTAACATTAAATGATGAAATTAAAAAAAAATTAAAAAAATTTAAACCAAATGTATTAATTCGTTAAACTCACAATCCATGACATAAAAATAAGATAATTCAATAAAAAAAATTAAATTAAATACAAAAAGATAAAATTGAAACAAGCATTAATAAAGAAAAAATTAAAAAAATTATTATAATAAATAATTTTTTACGAGGAAGAGTCGAATAATAAAGAGTATTTTTTTTTATTAATGTTATTTTTCAAAAAAATCCCTTATAAACCCAGTCAAACCCGTGCTGTTGATAGGAAAATAAAAAAGAAGGTATAATATATAGTTTTAAGCATCGGACTGCTCATCAGGCAATCTCCTTATCTTCATTGTCACGACAGCAAGTTTCTCTTTTTTGTTCTGTCTAATTTGCTTTGCGATTTAAATATCTCTCTCACACAGCTTTTCACCTTTTCGGCCCGTAAATTCCTCGATTTGTGCCCGTTCAAAGTTGGGTTTTCCTGGACGCCATACTTAGCCATATACGATATATACATCCCTCGTAGCTTGATGAAAAAAGGAATTGCCTCCATATTAAAATAATATAAAGTTCTACAATATAATATATAGCACTCCACCTACTAATTATATATAGCATGCAGCAATCTATCTTATAGATATGTAAAATAAGTCTTTGTGCAGTTTCTTATAAGCTTCTCCTCCCCTTCTCCGATGGCTTCTTCCTTCCAAAGATCTGGATATCTTCATATAGAATAGTTACAGAAAGTAGTAAGTACTGGTGAAGAACTATCTAGAGATCGGTCGACGATCATACTGTTTGATTCTAGCTTGTAAGCTCCATATATATATATATATATATATCTTTGAAATTTCCATCATACGATTATATATATATATATATTTCTACCGTTTCCTTGTTTTTTTTTTTAAATAAGATTTTTATGCATGATCTATCTCTTCTTGATTTTGAATACTACGTCATATCAGTGATCGATAAGGTTTGCTAAGGAAGCACAGTGCAGCATATATTGTGTGATATATACATATATACAGCAATTGATTACCAACGATAAGTCAGCGCGGGTGCGAAAGGTTCCGGCCGGAGGTCATTAATTTAATTGTCATCAGCAGCATCACCTGGCAATTAATAATATATCAATGTCCGGCCTGGAAGCAAGCCCAGGTGCTAGTGCAGGGTCTCGTTATGCTGCTCATCAACTCCTGGGACCGGAACTGCAACTTCAAAGAGATGCCAAAACTCCACAGCCAGGTAATTATAAAGACGACATCAATGATCCTGAATCTGCCACCACTAGTAGTTCAGGTGCCGGTAATTCCTCCTCTGGACGCAGGCCTCGCGGCCGTCCTGCTGGTTCAAAGAACAAACCCAAGCCCCCGATAATCATTGCGCGGGACACCCCAAATGCTTTAAGATCTCACCTACTTGAAATATCCCCGGGCTCAGATATAGTTGAATCAATATCAAATTATGCAAGGCGCCGAGCCCATGGAGTTTGCATTCTCAGCGGTAGCGGAGCAGTCACAAATGTTACTTTGAGGCAGCCGGGTGGTGGGGGTAGTTCTGCTGTGATGACGCTGCACGGGAGGTTTGAGATCTTGTCCCTAACTGGGACATCGCTTCCATCACCAGCACCACCTGAAGCAGGCGGCCTTTCGATATCTCTTGCTGGAGGACAGGGGCAGGTTGTGGGTGGACGTGTGGTGGGGCCTTTGATGGCTTCAAGTCTTGTGATTTTGATGGCTGCCTCCTTTGCAAATGCAATGTATGATCGGTTACCAGTGGAGGAGGATCGGGAGTCAGTACCAGCAGTAGAGGTGCAGCAGCAGCAGCGGCCAGCAACCTCACAATCGTCGGGAGTGGCTGGATCAGGTGGAGGACAAGTTGCTGGTGGCGGAAACGATGGCATTAGTGGTGGTGGTGGTGTACCCTTTTATAATCTGGGAGTGAACGGTATGGGAAGCTACCCTTTTTCCGGTCATGGCGAAGGAGATCGTATGTTTAGTAGTCCAGCAGGTCTGCATTTTAAATGAGTATATACCGCTAGCTAGCTACTAGTGTCAACAATGAATATCCCAATTTAAAGATATGATTAATTGTTGTCTTCCCGTATTAAGTTCAAGAATTAGATAAGGATATTGGTGCTGAATCAGTATTTCTTCAAGATCAAGAAGAAGAAGAGTGCAGGAAATTCTGTGTCCTTTCTGTGTCTTTCAGTATTAATTCAAGAATTAAATAAGCTTAGAGCCTCTTTTGTTTTTTATTTAGTGATTTGCAGCTTCTTATGTACCGATAAAGCATCGAATGTTCAGGAAAGCGATCGCACAACACCATGAAAGTATTTTAAAATCGTTTTATGTATCTGCTAATGATGAAGAGTCATGTCAGCTTAAAATAGATAATTGTAGAAAACAGGCGACAAGAGAATATTGAAAATTGATGGGCTTGGGTTCGAACCTATTTCATCTCCTCTTGGGCCCAGTTTTGGTAACCTTTTATTCTCCTATATGGACTCGGTTTTGGGCTCTATTTCTTACCTCCTTGGTTGGGCTTTTTTCTTGTATATTTCGTCTCCTCTTGGGCTTTCTTTCTAATTAGGGATCGAACTCACTGACACGAATCAAGAGGCTCAGTGCCACTCGCTAAAAAGCTACTGGTCTCACGTGCATTATTTTATTTATTTTCATTTAATAATGAGGAGTATTTTCATATTAATTTGTGACAAAAATTGAGATCATGTTTTTTTTTTCTAAACAATTTTTAAAGACGCACTCCAGATACTCCCCAGTGTGTTTTGAAGATCTTTTTACCTTATGATTTCAATTTAGAAAAAAAAAACATCCATATTAAAGTAATCAATTTCTTCAAGCTATTAACAACAGCAACTGACAATGGAAATTATTGTTACTCTTCTTGTAAAATATAGTTTATCAGAACAATATTTTTTTAAAAAAAATTATTTTTTAATATTAAATTTATTGAAAATTAAAAATTATAATTTATTTTTGTTTGTTTTTTATGAGATTATTGTAATTTTATAACTCGAGTCACGGATTTTGAGAGTTAAATTTATTAACTTGAGTTTTATTTAATCTTTTTTATAATTTTTTATAATTTTATCTTTCAACATTTAAATTGATTGAAAATTAAATTTTATAATTTATTTTGTATTATTTTTTATGAGACTATCTAAATCTCATGAATCGAGTCAAAAGGTTTGACAAGTTAAACCAAGATGACTCGAGTCCTATTTTTTATTTTTTTAATTAATTTTATTTAAATTTTATCATTAAATGTCGGATTGATTGAGAATTGAACTTTATAATTTATTTTTTATGTGGTTATTATAATTTCATGATCGAAACTTGTCATATTAACTAACTTGGTTAACTAAGGTTTTTTGATTATTTTTTAATTCATATTTTTTAATATATTTTATAACATTGGTTGAATGAGAATTGAGTTTTAATATATTTTTTTTTATCTAATTGCTATAAAATTATCATGGTCTTAAGATCTTGATAATAAATTTTATATGTTAACTTGAGTTAATCTAATATATTATTTTTTTATATTTTTTAAATTATTTTAATTTTTTTTAATTAAATTATGTTTTTCTTTGATTTTTTAAAATATTTATAAACTTATCAAATTAATCAATTCACGTCAAATCAGTTTCAACATTCTTTAATTTTAGGTCGATACCTAATTGTGCACTAATTGAAATAGTACTCCCGTTTCTTTAAGCATCAAGTTATTATTAGTTACGGGCAATTAAGAAAAAACTAAAACTGCTCCGTGTTTCACTGTGCAAGTCCACAGTGAAATCTGAGCAGTTTTCTTTTTCTTTTTTTTCTTTCGTTTTTCTTTTTTCATTTTTTTTCTATTTTTTTTCTGTTTTTTATTTTTTTTCATTCTCTATGCCTTTATGGGTTTTTTATTTTTTTCTTTTTTTGTATATTTTTTTTAATGAACTTTTTTAGTTTAATTTAGTTTGTTAATGTTAATTTTTTTATTTAGTTATCAAATTTTCATAACACGGATTCCGGGTTTAAAGGGTTAACTTGATTTGACGAATTAACCCGATTTTTTTTTAATTAATAACATATATTAAAATTGTTTAGTGTTTCATTGTGTAGTTCACAGTGAAACACTAAGTTGTTTTTTTTTTTATTATTTTTTTTTCTTATTTTCTTATTTTTTCTTTTTTTTATGCCTTTATGGGTTTTTTTGTGTTTTTTCTTTTAATGATTTTTTTTATTTTAGTTTATTAATGTTAATTTTTTTTTAGTTATCAGATTTTCATGACACGGATCCCGGGTTTGATGAGTTAACCTGAATTTTTTTTTCTTTTTTTAAAGTTTGACGATTTAACCTGAAATTTGTTTTTTGCTTTTTTTTTCTTTTTAATTAATTTTTTTTGTTTAGTTTAATTTTTTAATGTTAAATTTATTTCTATTTAATTATCAAAGTTTCATGACACGTATCCCGGGCTTGACGGGTTAACCCATCAATTTTTTTTTTCTATTTAGTTATCAAACTTTCATGATGCAAATCCCAGGTTTGAAGGGTTAATCTGGTTTGAAAGGTTAATCTAGTGAATTCATATTTTTTTCTTTTTCTTCATTAGTTTTTTTCTTTTTGTTGATTTTTTTTGTTTTTTTTAATTAATCTATTTAAT